CCACTTCCGGCTTTTTTCTTATGTGGTGCTGAGGAATCGAACCCAGGGCCTCATGCATGCAAGGCAAGTGCTCTACCACTGAGCCACCTTCCCAGCCCCTAGTTTTAATTTGTATATACAGTAAAAGGTTCCCATTTTAAGCGGGGCTTGAACTCTGGGCCTGGGAGCTGTCCCTCGGCTCTTCAGCTCAAGGTGAGCACTCTACCACTTGAGCCACAGCGCCACTTCCAGTTTTCTAGTGGTTTACTGGAGATAAGAGTCTCATGGACTTTCCTGCCCGGGCTGGCTTCGAACCTCAATCCTCAGATCTCAGCCCCCTGAGTAGCTAGGATTACACGCATGAGCCACCAGTGCCTGGCTAATTCAGTGAGTTTTGATAAATAGTTATACCTATGTAACCAACTCTCCAGTCAAGCTCATGACTTTTTTATCACTTCAAAAAAAATAATTGATACGATTTCTGTTACTATGGATTGTCTTTTCTCACAAATAAAAAATGTGTTATAATTTTCTCTTTATTTTTGTGAATGGTTCTTTCAGTCAGCATCATGCTTTTGAAATTTGTCCATGTTGTTAGGTTGCTTCTTCTTATTACTGAAAATTAATAGTGTAGAGACACTACCTTGATCTTTCCTTCTCCCAGTTTTCAGCATTGCAAATAATACTGCTATCAGCATTTATATTTTGTGTGGCTGTATGTTTTTACTTTTTCTTAGGTTAAATATATGTTTAACTTTATAAGAAACCACCAAACAGTTTCCAAAGTGATTGTATAACTTTGTACTCCCATCAGGAATTTTAATTATACTGTGTGTGTGTGTGTGTGTGTGTGTGCACGCATGTGCACACACATGAGTGCATGTGCCAGATATGGGGCTTGAACTCAGGGCCTGAACACTGTCACATAGCAAGGCTGGTACTTTACCACTCCGCTTGAGCCACAGCTTGACTTCCAATTTTTTTTTTTTTGGTTAATTGGAGATAAGGTAAGAGTATTTATGTTTTTTTTCTTCCAAGGATGGCTACAAACCACGATGCTCAGTTCTCAGCCTGACTAGCTAGAATTACAGGTGTGAGCTCCCAGTGTCTAGCTTATTCTATATTCTTGCCAGGAGTTCATTTTAAAAAAATTTAATCCCTTGTTGTGGTGTATAATATGGACATTTCTCCAGTGACTAGAGGGTGTTGAATATCTTTCAAGGGACTTATTGTCCAATCATGCATTTTTATCTTATGAAATACTTGTCTAAATATTTTTCTCCTTGAAAAAGTGTATTATCTTTTCATTGATTTCACTATAAAGAGTACTTAATATATTCCATGTAATTTTCTCTATATCTGCAAGAAACCAGATGGAATTTTGATTTTATGTGTGTTTAAACCATAAATCCATTTGGGGAAAATCGGTGGCTAAAATATATGGACCCTTCAGTCTATGAGCAGTATGTCTCAATGCATTTAGGCTATAATTTATAGTTTTAGACATTTATTAATTTATCCTTAAATATTTTGTTTTTTAATGTAATTTTAAATTTTGTGTCATTGGCTTTTTCAGTTACTTGTTTGCTCATACATGGAAATATTGTCAATTTTTATATATTGACCTGCAATCCTATATCCTTGAAAATTCATTTTACTTTTTGAAAATTTGTTTTAAAATTATTTTACAGTAGTACAAAGGGGTTTCCATTCAATATGTCAGTTTATGAATACAGTGCATTTTGATCAGCGTTGTCATTAGAGAATATAATTTCAACTATTTGAAGCATACTAATATGATCTGGTTTATCTTTTTTCTATTT